CCAGCCTCAAAACTCGTCGATATTGAGTTATGTCTTAGAATTATGCGCTCTGCGCCAAGAAGAAGTGTTTTCATCTTCCAGGGTTGTTGCCACAACCCTCTCGGAGCAGACCTGTCGGGAGATATGTGGTCTAAAATTGCTAAAGAGCTTAAAGCCCATAACCACTTACCAGTTATTGATGTTGCTTACCAGGGCCTAGGCGGAGGCTTAGACGAAGATGCCGCTGGTGTACGACTGCTCGCTGATGCTGGTATCGAGATGCTAGTGTGCCAGTCTTTTTCCAAGAACTTTGCGCTGTACGGAGAGAGATGTGGAGCGCTTCATGTTGTTGCGAGCTCAGGCGCTGCTGCGGCAAATGTTCGAGATCAACTACGAAGCTTGATTCGCAGAGAATATTCCTCCTCGCCAGCTTATGGTGCGAGGATCGTGAAAATTGTTTTGGAAGATCAAGAGCTGAGAACAAAATGGTACGATTATTGGACACTTACATGCTGATTATTGTTCGCGCCTAATCAAAATCACATATCGTTGCAGGTATCGGGAGCTTGCTGCTATGCGGGAAAGACTACACCGAAACAGGCAGCTGTTGTACGAGTACCTCGCGAAGACTCTTCAGGTAGACCACGTCAATCACCGCACCAAAGGTATAAAAGCTTACTAGTGTCTAGACCCCTGGGAACTGGGAACATATTGTGTTGGACAGAGGACTCTTTTCGTGAGTTATTCAACGATATTCATATCTGCTAACTGACATCGCGATGAGGTGCCTTTCACTTAGTCCAGTACAATGTTCGGCGTTGATTGAAGATCACCACGTGTACTTACCTGAAAATGGACGGATCAATATCGCTGGCTTGAGTTTGCGGAATATCGAGTGGACTGCTCGTGCAATAGATTCTGTCATACGTGAATTGCCGGGGATTAATGGCAGCCACATGTATGTAGATGGGAACAACCCATGACGCTGGGAATCTGAATCGCAGAGGATTTCATGGAAATTTTTTAAATTGGGATCTATCGACACTGAACTTCACGCATGCCTGTAGTACTAGATGTGTACGAATTATACCCGTGTTTCTAGAGCCTATCAAAGGACGCTTCATATAGTCTACCATTCGTGGTCTGTAAATCAGCTGTAGTCAAATCCGTTACAAGTACTCGGCCCGGCTCATGAGACATGACAAGACCCTTGATCTTCTCACCAGCACTTAGGATGACATTCTGGGGTGTAACTCCACAGCCCTACAAGCAATGTTAATCGAATCTCCACCGCAAAGAGCATGATTACAAACCCAAAACACAGGCACTTTATCTGCTCGAAAGTCCTGTTTGTCACCAAAGTCGGGGTTATGCACATCACGTATACCAATGCCCTTGGCTCCCTCCCATCCCCAAGCGACTGGCTCGCCATGTGTGGATAGAAAAGGTCTTGTGATTGCGCGAACAGCTTCGATCTCCTTAAGTGCATACGCTCGCATACTAACAACAAAAGTCGCACCATCACAGAAGATGCCTGTCGGCAGTACCGGGATATTTGTCTTGTACTTTGCCGGCACACCGCCCTTATTCTGATGGCATATCCTGTGACCAGCAGCGAGCAAAGCCTCCTCGAAAGACAAGGAACATCCAATTAGGAATGCAACGTGGTCATTTGTCCATTCGGCAAGGATATCCTGCTTCTGCGCGATCTCTGATCCTCCATACAGGATCCGATAGCTTGGAAAGTCGGTGCAAACATCGAAGTCTGGTGCGGTAATAACACCTTCTGGTACAACACGGTTCGGATTGCCGACGGGGGTAAAGCCGAGCAGTGGACATGGAACGGTGTTCCGAGCACAAAGATCGCGGAAGTCGGAGGCGTGGGCCGAAGGCAGAACCACCAAATTTGCTTGAAGATATCCAGGTGCCATGCCCACTGTATTCGGAACCAGATTATGCTGACTCAGAAGACGTGATTCATGGGCTGGGTTGACAGCCTTTGCGGCAATTAATGCCTTTAAATTCTCTGGACTAAGTCTTGTTTCTGCCATCGGGATTGACATTGATAAAAGGGTGAACAGTGGCGTGGAATGATCGGGAAGTAAGCGGACCTGGTTGTTTTTATATACTATGCAATATTCCCGCTAGCATTTAGTCATAGATAGCGTTGCTTCTCAGATGTCCCTTACAATTATTGGGTCGGGCGACAGGCCGGGGTAATCTTAGAGAGTCTGGAAAGCTCTGAACGGAATGAAATACCGCACCCTTGATGAGTGGTCCGTGATTTGGCATAACTACTCCTAAATATCAAATCTTTCAGAAAAATTCAAATCAAAGCTTTTCCAGCCGTAAGGTAGGCTACAGATTCATAACCGATCAAGCATGACAGAGAATGGACACTTGCTGATTCCACTTCGTCACGTCGAGCTCACTACTCCTCCGCCAGGATAATAAATGTAAATTTTTAAAGGTTGAAAATATTCAATACTAAAGGTTGTAGTACACATCAAGCTCTCAAATGTTCTGTTTATTGATATGGGTCTATCAACTTCTACAAAGGTGATAACCCCTTGTTGAGGTGATAGTGATACTCTTGCCAACTAACATTTATAAACCCTAGCGGGAGAGTACACAGCCCAGGTTCTATCCTAGAATCCATCACACACGATATCGGAATTCTAGTTCTCGGTCTCCAGTTGTTAATTTTCGAGTATCTTCTACCTCGCCAGCAAGAATTTGTTCCTTTTGCTTGTTCATATAGCGTAGATAGATTAGATGAATACTTATCAGAACCTCCGCAACGAAGATTGCCCCGAGTGAGAAGCTATTTCCGAGCCGGTAAGGGGGGTTTCGATATATTTGCCCTGCCACAGCGCCAGCGGAATTGCCGATAGTCTGCTGTATCCCAATGGATGTCGCACGGCGATATTGAGGAGCCACGTTTATATTGAGCCATGCCAAATTCAAACCAGTCCCGTTGTATACTGCAATTGTGCAGACGAAACATGCAAAATACTTCACAGCATTGTTGTCAACTCCGATAAGAATTGCATACCCAATTGCCCCAATGAAATTCGTTATAAGCAAGAACTGCTTTCGATGTTAAACTCTCGGGAGCAATGATTGGTTTGGTTAGGGAATGACTTACGACGCCACATTTTCCATATTTGTCGGAAAGAAATGCAAATGTAAAAAATCCGAGTGCTCCGAGTACATAAACAGGGATGGTCAAGTAGTTGCTAGCTAGACTATCGTGACCCATCGCTCTGAGAATCGATGGCAAAAACGTCCCAAAACCGTTGGTCAGAATGTTCTGGCAGAATTGTGTCCCTGCACTAGCAATCGAAAGTCTTGTTAGCACTAAAAACGAGGTAGTCGGATCACCAAGACAGACTTACCATAACCAAGTCTTGGGGTCCAGAAAGGCGAGCTTGATTTCCTTCCAGTCAAGCTGGTCACTGCCCATGTAGTCCAGACGCTGCTGATGGCGAATATCCATAACATCTCGTTCCTCGGCACTCAAGAAGTAGGCCTTGCGAATATCGCTTGGTAAGCCAAACCAAACTGCAAAAGCACAGATGATGCTAAATGCTCCCTCAATAATGTAGACCCATCTCCAGCCAGCGTAACCAGCCACGCTATCCATCTGCAGTAAACCATATGCTAGGAGCCCTCCAAATGCTCCAGATAAGGCAGTGCATGATACCAAATAGGAGACGCGTTTGGCCATCTCATCTCGTTTGTAGACCAGGGTCAGATACATGTTTAATGAGGGAAACAAACCACCTTCGCAAGCACCCAAGACCAGACGGCAAGCATATAGGCCGCCAACATTCTTTATAAAGCCATTGGCGATGGTTGTTGCAGACCAGATGACGCAGAGAATAGTGAGCACAAATCGGGGCTCGAATCTTTTGACTAAGATCACTGCCGGAACTTCGACGGGCACGTACGTTGCAAAGAAGATGGAGACTGCGGTCGAGAATTGTTGAGTTGTAGCACCGATATCTTCTGGCATTCCTGCAACCTTGACATTGCCTATGCTCGAATTAGATTGTGACCTTCGTCAATTAGCCAGCAGAGATGGACTGTTAGTATCACATACCGATGTTGGATCTGTCAATAAAACATGACAGGTAGACTATGAATAAGATAGGAGTTATGAATAAGTCTAGCTTTCGCACGACCTTTGCCTCCTTTGCTGGGTCGACGTGATAGTTCACCGTTTGACCAGCCTCGTTGCTTTGCACATTGCTTATGCCGTCCTTAGTCTCCATTGCTAACGTTACTGCAAATACTTTGCTAGAACAAGAATAGCACAGTAAGTATTATCTTAAAGCGTTGCTGCAAGAACAATACAGGGTCTGATCCTAGATTGGAGGAAGTTGCAGGTTTTAGACCGGGAAAGGTAGGGCCACTTGGGGGTTATTATGGGCAACCACGACCATGGCCATATCAGAAGCCAAGGCTAGCACAGGCCATAAAACTACGCCTGCTCCTTTGGAGCCATAATCATTGGGGTGACTTGATATCGTATTGATGATAAGACTACTTCAAACCCATTTCCATGGAGCTTAGTCCTCCCCATGCCCAGGATCCTGTGGAGAAAGCCGATAAGGCCGAGTCAAACCTTGCTGCAGCGGCCTGTCAAGCCGAGATCATTGCTCAGATTTCGCGTTAGAGCCACACGAGTCACTCGTGACAAAAATGATAGCTATGCATTTAGCGGCGATAGCTCGGGCTGGGACGCCGAGCAGAAGCTTAGCCAATGAAAGATTACATTTTTCGGGCTGGCAACCCGGCTTATCACCACAACTCCACATGAGGCTCGACTAAAGCCATTTTGTTTGATTGGACAATAACTCGCAGCCTGCAGTACTTCATCGGACTTACGGTTCAGTATCGCAAGGAATAAAGATTCTTGTAGCCCATTTGACTCTTGTAGCTTGTATGGAGATGAAACATTGTCCCATTCTGACACCAAGATTATTCTATTTTGTTCAAGGTTCTAAGTTGACAACATGGGCTCAATCGATCAATGGCCGCAGAACGGTATTAGGATTGCTATAGGTGAGTGGATTGAGTCAACAAGATAAGCTCCAAGACACTAATGTCATCCTACAGATCGAGGTGGCACCTTCACAGATGTCCACGCGTACGCGACAAATGCGAAGGAAAGCGAACTCGTGTTTAAGCTGCTTTCCGTTGATCCCCACAATTACAAAGATGCCCCAACAGAAGGTATCAGACGAGTTCTCTCCCATTTTCGGGGCAAGCCAGTCCCTAGAGACGAGGCTTTGGACATATCAGATGTCGAATCCATCCGCATGGGGACGACAATCGCAACGAATGCACTACTTGAGCGGCAAGGCGAACGAGTCGCCTTGCTCACCACGAAAGGATTCCGCGACCTCCTGGTAATCGGAAACCAAGCACGCCCGCACATCTTTGACTTGAGTATCCAGAAATTACTGAACCTGTACGACAAAGTCGTTGAAATAGATGAGAGAATCACCATGGAGGAGTTCTTAGAGAACCCAGAGAAGAAGGCTGTCGATATCACACAGGATGATGCTCTTGCAATGAGCGTTACGGGCGAACCAGTCAGAATTTTGAAGAAGCCCAATCTGGAGGCCGTTCGAACGCAATTGACACAGCTGCAGGCAGAGGGATTTAGTAGTTTGGCCCTCTGTTTGATCCATTCGTATATGTATCCCCACCACGAGCGAGAAATTGCACAGCTTGCTCGTAGCATGGGGTTTGAGGTGTCCGTATCATCCGAACTCCAGCCAAGCGTATGTATCTCCAAAGATCATCCATAACCACCGTGAGCGACTCTCAATAGACTAATGAAATCTAGATCAAAATGGTGTCAAGAGGAAACTCGGCAACGGCCGATGCTTACCTTTCGCCATTGATTCGACGATACGTTAAGAGCTTTAGTACCGGATTTCAAGGTGGTATGGATGCAGTTGCTGCAAAGCTGCTATTCATGCAAAGCGATGGTGGTCTTTGCTCGTGGCAAAACTTCTCTGGTCTGCGTGCAATTCTCTCTGGCCCAGCGGGAGGAGTGATTGGCTACGCGCGATCTTGCTACGACCCGGCCGACAAGACTCCTGTCATTGGGTTTGATATGGGAGGTACATCAACAGATGTTAGTCGGTTCTCAGGGACATACGACCATGTTTTTGAGACTGAGACGGCGGAAATCACATTGCAAACCCCACAACTGAACATAAACACAGTTGCCGCAGGAGGTGGATCGATACTGCATTGGAAAAACGGCCTGTTTGCCATCGGGCCTGATGTGAGCTATTGGACAAACACTTCTATTTAGAATTGCACTAATGGGACTTTCAGTCTGCAGGCGCACATCCTGGTCCAGTATGCTATCGGAAAGGAGGTCCATTGACAGTGACAGACGCCAATCTCTTCCTTGGCCGTCTACGACCAGAGTATTTCCCTGCCATCTTCGGGCCAAATGAAGATGAGCCTCTAGATTATAAGTCAACAGCACAAGCCTTCAAGTCAATGACTGAAAGGATCAATTCTGAAGAAGGGATGAACTTCACACCCGAGGAAGTAGCTAGCGGCTTCTTGCGTGTGGCAAACGAAAGCATGAGCCGACCAATCCGGTCTCTCACTGAGGGACGAGGTATCAGTACCTCTGATCATGTTCTAGCAACTTTCGGAGGTGCAGGTGGTCAGCATGCGTGCGATGTAGCTGAGGCCCTTGGCATCGAGAGGGTGACGATTCACCGCTTCTCGTCCATCTTATCAGCGTTTGGCATGGCTCTTGCTGACCTCACATATGAATGCCAAAAGCCGCGTTCAGCAACCTTGGCGCAACTCAATGAGAAGCAATTGATGACGGAATTCGCGGCCTTATCTCAAGAAGCTGAAGCTGGACTTAGAGCGCAAAGCTTTTCTGATACTTATGTTGAATTTGAGATGTATCTTAATCTCAGATATAAAGGGACGAGCAGTACGTTGATGATACGAAAACCGGAACAGTCCTGGGACTTTGCCGGGGTCTTCTTCAACCAGCATCAAGAGGAGTTCGGATTTACCCTAGATCGTGAAATTCTCGTCGAAGATATCCGAGTTCGTGCCGTGGGAAAGACGACCGGCTTAAATATTGATAGTATATCAAAAGCTATCAAAAGCGTCGCCACCATCACAGTAGGTGCTGAGAAGGCAGTCAAGCAGACGAGGCTGTATACAGAGTCAACATGGCACCAAGTCCCGTTATACAGTCTGGAAGGCCTTTTTCCTGGAGACAAGATCATTGGGCCGGCCATTATACTTGATCAGACACAAACGATTCTTGTCCAGCCCTTTTGGTCTGCTATACTTCTACCTCGACACCTGGTCTTACAAAAATTATCATCTAATGCAAATGATGTCTCGGTGGTTGAGGATAGCAATATCGTCGATCCAGTCCAGCTATCCGTTTTTGGTCATCGCTTCATGAGCATAGCTGAGCAAATGGGCAACTCTCTACAAAAAACATCCGTTTCCATCAATATCAAGGAGCGACTTGACTACTCCTGTGCTATATTCTCGCCTTCCGGCGGACTCGTCGCAAATGCACCCCATATACCTTGCCATCTTGGAGCGATGAGTTATGCGGTTGCCTACCAAGCTGAGAAATACGGTAACACGCTTCGACCGGGTGACGTGCTGGTGTCAAACCATCCAGTGGCGGGCGGCTCGCATCTACCGGACGTAACTGTTATCTCGCCAGTCGTTGATGAGGATACAAATAAGGTGCTCTTTTGGACAGCGTCTCGAGCCCATCATGCAGATATTGGTGGCATTGCAGCCGGTTCTATGCCTCCACACTCGAAGGAAATCTGGCAAGAAGGCGCGTCCTTCACTTCCTTCAAACTCGTCGATGGCGGAGTTTTTGATGAGCAGGGCCTAGCCGAAATCATGCTCGAGAAGCCTGCTAGCTACCCGGGCTGCACAGGAACGCGGACCTGGTCTGACAATGTCAGCGACTTAAAGGCACAGATTGCCGCAAACACCAAAGGCATCAGACTCATCAAGGACTCTATTAAGGAGTACGGATTGGCCACTGTACAGGTAAGTAGCCCATCGAAGCAATCTAGACCAAAGCAACCTTCCTGATGATATGTTCTAAACACAGAAATATATGGCTGGCATTCAGAATAATGCCGAAAAGGTGGTCCGCAGCCTTCTACGCCGAGTACATGATCAATTCAGTGGCTTGCCTTTGGAAGCAGAAGACAACATGGATGACGGCTCTGTTCTCAAATTGAAGATCAAGATTGATCGTGAGAGCGGATCAGCCACCTTCGATTTCACCGGAACTTCCAAAGAGGTCTACGGCAACCTCAACGCTCCGCGTGCCATTACTTTTAGTGCGATTATATACGTACTGCGGTCATTGGTGAAGGAAGACATTCCATTGAACCAAGGTTGCTTGGCACCTATAGAAGTGATTCTACCCCCCGGGACGATACTGTCACCATCTTTGGGAGCTGCAACAGTGGGAGGAAATGTCGAAACATCGCAACGTGTAACCGATCTTGTTCTACGCGCTTTCCAGGCTGCAGCAGCCAGTCAAGGTACATGTAACAATTTGACGTTTGGATATGGAGGGCAAATAGTCGATGGCAAGGCCGTACCTGGATTCGGATACTACGAGGCAAGCTTGCTGAATTCCATGTGCTATTTGTTTTGAATTAGTCTAAAGCTAACAGTTTCTCCCAGACGATTGCCGGCGGTGCAGGCGCAGGTCCAGACTGGGTAGGACAGTCAGGGGTTCATGTCCATATGACAAACACCCGCATCACGGATCCCGAGTCGTTAGAGCGTCGATACCCATGCATTCTGTGGGAGTTTGGCCTCCGTCGTGGCTCGGGAGGTAAAGGACTGTATCCTGGAGGAGATGGCTGTGTACGACACATTGAGTTTCGGCGCGATGTTGAAGTCAGTGTGTTGAGTGAGCGTCGTATTGTCCGACCATTTGGTCTTCGCGGTGGAGGCGCGGGTCTACCTGGTGAGAACATTTGGATTCGGACGGACGAGTATGGGACGCGAGAAGTGAACCTCGGAGGCAAGAATACTTGCCACATGAAGAAAGGAGACCGTATTATCATCAGTAAGTGATACTCTTTATATCTACGAACATTGGTTTGTTAACAGTGTGATCAGGGAGTCCTGGTGGCGGCGCCTACGGCAAAATAGAGGCGTGATGCTACATGTCATTACATTTGTCAACAGAAATTTCTAGCGATATATTTAGACGTGCGATATACTAGATTATGGCCCTTCAACTCTCACTTCATTGAAATACACAGCATCTTCTTACTATAGCCCTCCGCTTCATCGGTATAGTCCCTCTCTACGTATGGACATCTAGAGATTTACGGAGAGGGCTGATAAGGAAGGCAGGTCTTACTGGGGCAGGGTGGGAAGCGTTAGCCAGTATGCTCTCGGGCGGAGAAATAGCTGATTCAGGCCTAGTAGTTGGCGCAACAAGGACGGGTCTCCTCAATCACCACAACGTCCAAAAAGCAAAGCCGAACTTGTGCGGAGAGTCTCTATCGCGCAATCGATGGCATGACCGGTAAGCGGATTTTTGCTCCACGGATTGCGACGAAAGCGACGTGGGGGCACAAATTGTCGCCACAATTTTCCAGAGAAGATTCAACTTAGTCATATCCTCCTTTCATCACGGGCACTCTGTGCAGACGATACCTTGACGTCCTGGAGTGTAAGTAGCGTATCAATTCTGTTCGGTGGTGTAAAGTGCGGCTAACTGGTCTTATCTCTTACAAGTCTATCTCGGTTATGCACGTGTGCTTTGGATCACGCAGATGACCTTCAACTGATCTGTACTATTACTCGAGCATGGCGAGGTGGGATTGGTCTACCTAAAGCTTTTGGCGAGATATCGATGTTCCTGGTTTGGGAGAAATCACGATAACTGCCGAGTCGTACTGGACCTATAAGATATCCCCGCAATCCTCGAAGTGCAGGACTAAGCATATCTTGAGTTGACAGTTGATACTCTCCTCTCTACGAGCGAGAACATATTGGCGCGTCCAGCTCGTACGCTGCCTGGCTGGGAATTCTGCTTTGCTAGAACTTTGTGGGATCCAATGAACAAGATCAATCTTGTTCAGTTAATTGATAAGCTGGCGATAGCCGGATAGATCTGGCCAGGGCGCCACAACGCATGTCGCCATTTGGCTTGTATGTCGCCATATGACCGGCAGAAAACGACACCAAAATTTCGCTTCCCTGACGAAGCACATTTCAGTGGAGTTTGTATGCTGAAGCTCCATGCCCAAGTCCGAGCTAGTGAAGCCTCAAGAAAATTGTTATAAATACCGTAGAATCCATGCCATGGATCAAGCAGTGAAGCAAAGCCCAAGGGCACTCTCATTCCTACAGATCCACTCACGTGCAGACAGAGAGGATGAGTTATCCAAAAGAAAAGTCTTACAAGAATGTCATCATCGGTGACAGCGGAGGCAATCCCGTGGGCTTAGACGCCCCGCCGCCCGTGCCCGTATACTACACCGAATCGAAGCGAACATGGCGATCATACTTCTGGTCTAGTGAGATCCCGCACTATTATCTAGTTGTGAGAAACAATGTAGTATATGAATGCTGACTACGGATGCCCAGCTCTTGACGTGCCCAAGGAAGAGGCGTGGTTCTTGACCAAGCTTGACCTCACACTCATCACGGCATCCGCACTCGGTGTCATGTGCCGCTATCTCGATCAGGTCAACATTACCAATGCTTTCAGTCAGTCTTGCTCTACAAGAACAAGTGAACACAAAGCCAGAGCTAATTCAACCTATCAGACAGCGGCATGAAGGAGGACTTGTCTCTGTACGGAAACGAGCTCAATTATGCCACCGCTGTTTGGAGCGCGGCCTACATCATTGGGCAGGTACCGTCGAATTTGCTACTGACACGCGTTAATGTGCCCCTGTACATTGCCTTCCTCGAGTTCTCGTGGAGCGCCTTTACATTTGCCCACGCTGGCGCTAAAAGCATCCGCGACATATATGTGTTTCGCTTCTTGTACGTTGAGCTACTTCCCCTATGGCCGAGTCGCCTGTGTTAGTGTTGTGGTACTGACAGTCCAGCGTCGGATTGTTCGAAGCCGGGCACTTCCCGGCGGTCATGTATGTATGTTCGAGTTACTACAAGCCACACGAGCTGGCACGCCGCAACACCCTCATTCAGATATTCGTCTCTGTCGGCCCCATATTTTCAGGGTTCTTCATGGCGGCTGTCTATACCGGGCTGAACGGGAGTCATGGCCTAGCCGGGTGGCGATGGATGTACATGTGAGTTACAAGCGACTGTTCAGCAGGTCGAATAAGTGAATACTAATGACACTGATCAGAGTCTGTGGCTGTATTTCTGTACCTTGCGCTATTTGGACTGCATTTGCCATGCCTCAGTTACCAAGCCGCGCAAAGGCCAATTGGTATGTACAATTTGATGTTGTCCGCTGGTAGTTTTGTTGTAGTCTCTGATGATCAAGTAGGGTCTTTACGGATGCGGAAGTGAAACTTGCTCGCGCACGCATGCCGACCGAAGCTAAGCCGCTGACCGGACTATTTAAATGGAAGGACGTCAAAAGATGGCACAAGACATGGCACGTGTATCTGTGTAAGTCGACTGTCTCGATTACCCTCCCAGTTTGATGTTTAATACTGACTTGAGGGACAGTTCCTCTGTTTTTCACGTTCGCCGCGCAGTTCGGTCAGGCCGGAGGATCCAGTAAGCTCAGCTCCGCATGCCCCGTTCCAATCAGGCATGACTTCTTTGTTATCGTTTACTGAATAGCAACCAGTGATATTCTGGGTCAAGAGCTACAACGTCAAGGGGGAGCCTGCTGTGTTCTCGGTCGCTGATATCAATATAATTCCCCTCGGAGTGAGACGATCCTGAACGAATCAAGACCAAGCACCTTACTGACCGCTAGCATAGATCAATTTCCTCACGATCTTTTTCACACTCATCAACTCATGGATATCTGACAGCCTTCCTGGCTCTGCTCGCTGGCCGGGCATGGCATTCGCCAGCACCATGGCAATCATCTTCCCCATAGCTCTCGCATCCACGCCTGTGCATCCGGTACATAAAGGGACTCGTTGGGCACTCTACTGTAAGTGATTTGGTCCAATATTCACGCACATTGACAGTATAGGCATTCAATGGCAATGGTCGACTGACTATCTAGATCTCACCGCTCTGTCTGGTACTTCGGCCGGCATCACATGGACGTATGTGAATGAGACCAACCGAAGTGACCCAGAAAAGCGAGCCTATGTCTCAGCCATGGTATGTTATTTTCCTTTGCCTCATTTCGACTTCGTGCCTATACTTACGACATTGCGTAGATGAATGCTTTCGCCTACATCTTCTCGGCGTGGGTGAACATCTTCACTTTTCCAACCAAAAAGCAGCCGTACATTGTGACAGGTAATTACATCACAGCTGGCTTTGGCGGCTGTGCGCTTCTGTCGGTGCTAGCTATCCGGTACATGCACAACAGGGACCTGAAACATAAAGCCTTGGAACAGCAAAGGGGCTCACCCGAGGATGGCTTGTCATTTGACTCGTGAAAGTAATTGAGCGTTCACGCTTCATGGGAGGTACTGGAAGAAGATGGGCAGGTCGTTCATGGCAACGCCGATTCCTGCAGGGCTCAAGACCCATGCGTCCAAACAATCAGTATGACCTGTATATTCAAGGAGGATTGTAGCACATAGGTCATGATGCGCGCGAGAGAGAAATTACCCAAAGCTTTCATGTCACTTCTCCATGGCTGATTCTTCTGCTAAAATTTTCATTTGCAGCAAGATGAGATTTCTGCATATCCCCTAGAGGACTTGAAATCTCCTCACGGTAATTAATTCAATCATAAAGAGCTAGTCAGCTGCAAAACCAGCAAAGTCTTGCACTGGAGTGGTCAATCTAACAAAGAGGCGTTGGTAACGCGTTCGTTACACCATTTAAGGTAATGTCGCGCACTATGTATATTGGAGCTGTAGCAACAGCAACCTTGTTGCAATTTGTGTCAGTCACTCTATTGCAAAACATTGAAGCAAAGAGTGGTTCAGGTGCCATTTATAGCTATGTACAGAATTGAGAGACATTTGCTAGACAATATCAAGATCTTAGTTTTTGACTGTGACAGCTTCTCTCCATTTCCATTTATACACAGGTACTGTATTCACTGCTCAAAGTCCGCAAAACGTTGTGACGATCCCTTTCCGTGCCGCTTTGCCATTGACAACTCTAACCGTCTTCTATGACAACCCTTTCCATCTCACAAGGCGATCTACTTTTCGTGACGCGTTCGTTCATCGAGTAGTTCTATATTTTGGAGGTCTTCTGTGTTCTAGGTAGACGGTGTCGAACATATTTGTATTTTTAACATCTATAGGCTGTTTAGAGTGTAGGACTTAGAGCTACTCCTATTGGGCTCTATACCCAACCCTTATATAACTTTGGATGTGAGATATTCGTCAACTGCTTTATGCAACAAGGCCTCATAGCGACGAGGCCCTGTCCTTAGCTACATAAGTTTACGCAAGCTTAACCATATGAACATTCACTCAGTGTCCCCCTTGCTCCTGATGATCCTCGGGCTATATTGATGGTTCTGTATCCGCCCAAAGCCACGCATCTGTGAGCTGCCCGTCTGCCAAATGATCGAGCCCAGGGTCCCAGTTCAAGAGCCCGGCAATTGAGAGCATTTGGTCAGGCGACAATCCATTCACGGTATTGTTGATCCGGTAGTTATGTACGCCTCCGATGTCTATATCAGGCTCATTGATCAAAGTTACTAGGCTGTCTGCCGAAGGAGGCTCTGTTTCGCGCTGCACAAGCTTGAGTGTTTCGACCAGCTTCTCTAGCTCTTCTTTGCGAAAAGCTGCAACATGATTTCCCCGATTGATCATGGTGTTGAGTAGGCTGTATGTGATGTCTGTGAATGTGTGTGAGACATCCAAGTCGTCTATAAAAGGGTGCAGAGCGGAGATCAATGCCAATACAAACGCCGAGCTGAAGGTATTCTCAAGATCAAACGGTAGAAAAGTCTCTATGTAAAGATTAGAAGGCCAATCACGACTAGAAAGGATGCTTACTTACCGAGAAGATGCTGAGCTTGGAGAGCAATCAAGATCTCTAACGATTTTGCGGCTGATTCGTGCGACGTGCGTAAAAGTGCTTTAATGGGATCTGCAAGCCCCCGATTGTTTCGACCAGGCGACTGCGTCCGTCTAGCTAACAGCTCTCGGATCAAGCACATGAGAAGAGGCCGCGTAGCTAAAACGATACACTGGAATGGTATTGAGACATAGACGTTTGAGTGAGATCTGTCGAACATACCTGGTGGTAGTATAAGTTTAGCGTGGCTGATACTTTTGAGATCGGCTCTGAGTAGTCAAATTTGAATTCAAAGACTCCGCTGAGCTCCGAAGATAGCCTGGCCATATCACGCAGAATTTGTTGAATATTTCTTAGGAAGGATGGATCCAGATTTCCATCCACTCCGTACACAGCTACAGCACGCAAGGATAAGCTGAAAGTCCCAAGCATGATGACTGTCAATCAGAGTGGCGGAATATCACTCACTGTTCAAGACCTTTGCCTGCAGGCGAGACAGTGCTACGTGTGCGTTCAAAGCCTTTACAGTCTGTGCATTATGGCCAGTCTCCGGGAGCGGAGCCGTGATGTCTTCATCCTGAATCGAGTTCGGTGCACCCATCAAAGACGAGAACTTCCGGTCTAGGATGTAGAGCGTCCACCAAACACACCGTTGTCTGTGCACTTCAGCTGCTGATATGGAGTCGTTGACAATATTGCGATGCAGACCCTGTGTTAGTGCTATGCGAAACGCCTGGCCAATCTAGGTGAAGTCAGAAGATTCAAGTCAAAGAAAATTTCAAATCTGAGAACCTACATATGTGTACGCGCTGTTCCTGTGGTCTATCGATTGGAGATATAAAGCAAGGCAGCACAACACCTCAATCGACAAGATTGGATCTATGTATAAGCCATTGACATCTGGAAGGATCTCGAGTACTCTTGAAACGAACAAGCCACCCATGGGCATCCGTTGGTGTGCACCAGATGCAAGAAGTGCTTTGCCGAAAGCCATGATGAGTAGATAGTGAGCATACCAAAGTCGGGTTTCGACTGAAGGTTCACCAGGAGGACTGTTGCTATAGTACTGATACAGTCCGTCCATGAAAGACTTCTCATCAAATAGATGATACATTTGTCCCAAGTGGAACTTTACAGTGTTGGTTAGATATAGAGCATAATCCAGGGATGGAATATTCTCAGCAGTAAGTGGGCCGACCTTGCCTCCTCGAGAAGGCCATTCCAGGTCGTACGCATGTCCATCAGCATTAAGGGGCATTTCCAGTGTTTCTTGCAAAGTGAGATGGTGTTGGATTGTTGCCATTACTTGCCGACTGTATGCCCACGTTGAAGATGGGCCAAGAAATCCTGTCATGAATCAGTATTCTCTTGCATAGTGGCAAAGGGGAGACGCACGTCTTCTCCCATGCATGTCGGGTAGCACTTGTGAAGGGCCAGTCGCCAAAGGGTTGCGCATGGAAGATAAGTTAATCTCATCGTCAACATGATTTTGTAGACAACGATTTTCATTGGGATCTACAGACATGTCGGCGTGACTATGCGGGCCACGACGACCGGACAATGCACTGGTGTTAGATGTGCGACGGGTTCGCCTTCGCACTAGGCCATCGCCCTCGTCCGAAAAGAGACCAGACTTCCGCTTCAGCTCCTTCAGGAACCTGACAAAGATCAGTAACATGTTTTGATGTATGATGGGGATGACAAAGACCTTTGCGAAACGACAACCTTCCTATCATCTGAACCAAACACGCAGTCCTGGCCGCGCTGCCGACATGTAGTGCAGGGGTGATTTCCTGAGCACTTCACTTTCCGTTCGCGACATCTTACACAACTGTGAACATTTCTCACTTAGTATCTAGAGGCGTCCTTGGCCTGGAAACACAAAGCTGCGTTAAGATTGGAGCACGTACGCGTTATTTGCCCGTTTCGGGCCCGACTGCTGAGACTCTGTTCCGACTTCTTCATCCATGCTGTTTGCAAGAGCTATGGGAATCCAAGACACTGAATGAAGTTGCCTTTCGCAAGCGACTGTCACAGTACGCGGTCACCGGTTAAGCGCCGTGGCGTGAGAGATGTTGGAAGAGAGATATATGGGTTGAGGTGATATCTCACTGTCGTGGGCTTGGCTGACTCGCTAGCGGAAATTGTAGCTTTCCCCGGCTATCCCAACAAGTTAGTAGAGAGGACTAAATTCCAGGCTAGTGGGGTCAACGATAAATCCACTAATTTACCTTGCCCCAGTACTCGCTCTTCAATGAAGCTAGCCGCACATACAATATAAAACTCGACACATTCGGGTGAGAGCATCACATGGCCTTCGCTCACTCTGTCTTACAACGCTATGTCATCAAGGTCGTAGGGCTTGTTTATCATATCAGAGTTAGCTTCTTAGTCAATTGACTTCTATTATTTTTTCACTCTATTTATGTGTCTTATTAGAGAGAAACTTAGATAAGGCCATTTCAAGCATGAGGTATGTCAGAACATACTACTCCTCTGCCAGGGTAATAAACGCTAATTTGGCGAGGATATCACTACCTCCTCAACAAGGGTTTACTACCTTTGTAGAAGTTGATAGACTTATAGGAACAAACAGAATTTTTGAGAGCTTAAGAGTATTCTGGCTCTCAATATTGAGTAATTATAACCTTCAAGAGTTAATGCCCCTGGTAGCGGAGTATAATAGCGAGATATAACCATACTTCTGGAACGATTAAGTTGGTTTATTTACCAAATTCTTGGGCACATTCTCGGTTTTTCGATTTCAAGGCAGAGATACATGTTGTATGTTATTCAAACTACGCTATTGCGCTTGAATTCTGCTCAACCTTCTGTTCTGGAGTTACTGAATGATTGTATATTCATGCCCCATGTTTGCTATGCTTACACGTTTCAGAGGTTATCACAATGCGGCTTGGATTAAGCGGGACTTAATACAAGCTGTGTGAGGCTAATAGCGACTGGTCAAGAACTAAGTCGGAGTTGCGCTGTGTAGCCAAGAGCTTAAAGCAACTACAGGTCTGGATTTCTTGACTCACCGAGACAGCGAATCACTACATTCATTGCAGGTGTGGTATTCTCAAGACTCATCATCAACTATCTCCTCCAGAACTCACCTTTGCCTACGCATCCTCCTCTGTCACGTAATATATATACCACTTCAGATGACTAGTCAGCAGGGGAAAGATCTTCCTTTTGCTAGATAGCTCATTTGTGACATCCTCACATCCGCCTTACCTTCAACGAGGAGCACTGTACGAATTGTTGAAGACCCCCATTTCATCCTCGGTAGTTTTCGATCATCTGGTCGGTACATGGAACACACCAAACAACACGAGCACAGAAAGCAATTCTGATATGACTGATCATTTAGATTCCGAAAGTAGTTAACTTTGCGAGGGAGGGACGCGAAACTGAACACACCAAGCCGGCAGGCAGGACCACCAACCCTCCCCCTGTATTTGAGAACTACAATACAACACATTCGGCGTGCTTCTGTCTCCTTATAAAGCACGGAATCCTCCTGTAAATGTAACACCGTTTCAATCAACGGAGGTAAAAGGAGACTTTGTCGAGTGTGAAAAAAGGGTAGAATAACAAAAAGGAGTAATTATGCCTGCCCAGGATTCGTAGAAGAAAGCGCGGAAGAAAAGAGCAAAGGGAATATTGAACAAGATCTCGCAAAACGCCTTTTTTACAATTCAATGATATTCGAGATCCCATTCCAGACATCAAAGGAGATTTTTATGCACGGTTTGTAAATCAGCCCGAAGCCTTAGGCCAATCCAACGGGGCAACCTCCAAGTACCCCAATAATCCAACACACACAAGTCAATCAAGTCAAGGTAGAGTATTAACGGGTACCACCGAGAGCACTGATCCTGGCACCGGATGGGCGGTGAATGAGGCTCTCGGCGTGCTTGCCGACGACACCGGGCTCTTGAGGCATGGCCTCGGCATCGCTGCGGTCAGCGTACTCGTCCTCATCGTCCTCAACAATCTTGGTCGGGATATCGTGGCCAATCATGTACTGTTGGCTTGACCTCTCGGGCGTGGTGGTCGTCGAAGCAATAGACATGGATGTGCTGCTCCTGTTGGGGATCAGATCAGGAGTGGGTGGTATGGAAGATGTTCGCCCGGATGGGTGAAGGAGGCTCTCGTCGCCAACCTCAGAGGTCGCAGCCGAGTGACCGTCGTCGCTGGGGGCGGCAGAGAGAGTACTCCCGCGGCGGTTGTTAGGCGTAGAAGCACGCTCAATCTCAGCATCCTGAGCCAACTGCAGACCCTCAACAGCAGCCTGACACTGCTCCGCAATGTTGCGGATAATGTGGGCGATGGCATCCGTCTTGTCCTTAAGATGACGATCTGCCACGTCGACAAAGCTAGAAGTGGAGAAGCGCTTGCTGTTGCGCGCGGGGCTCTTGAGAAGCTGCTGCTCCAATTCTTCGGGGGTGGCATCTTCACTGACATTCTCCAACTCCTCGAGCGCGAACCCAGCGGCGATAGCTTCCTCCAACTCAGCTGGGTCAGTGAGTGTCTGCACGAGGTGCTCCATGTGGTGGCTCTGGCCGCTAATCAAGCTGCGGAGGTGCAAGACCACACGACGAGCCTCATCACGTTGACGCAAGATAGTGACATTGGTGTGCTGCAGAGCAGAGAGCTCCTTCTTGTTGCGCTTCCGCTCGCGCTCAAGCTCCTCGGCAATTTCTTGCTGAAGTACAAGAGCCTCCAAGGCATCATCACGCTGCTTCTCGGTCCCAGCGAGGCGGACGCCCATGCGGGCGTGCTCATCCTTCTGTTGGTCGAGGAGACCAGCAAGGCGGCGGTTCTCACGTTTGTGGTTCTCAATCTTGACCTTAAGATCTTGGGTTTCCTTGGTAAGCTGCTCGGCAAAGGCCTGGAATTTAAGGAACTGTGAGACGCATTAGTACAACCATGTGTCAGAAGCGCGGGAACCCAATTTAGCACAAACCTGTTGCTTCCAGCTCTCAAGCTCCTCGACAAGGTAGTTGTTTCTCTTGGTCACCTTGCTGAGCTCGGTGTCCATACGACCTTTGAGGTTAATGAAATCCTGCCAAGCCTCCAACGCATCGCGCGAGTACTGGTTGCGTTCGCGGACGATCTCATTGAGATGCCTCATTGACACCTTAGTCATCAAGGGTTTCTTAACGGACCCTCCGAAGACAGCCTTCAACCCGGTATTGCGACCCTAGTAGTGAAACAGTGATCAGCATCCTGCGGCAAATAGGTCGGCAAATTTCAATATAGGCAAGCTTACCATCTTCTCGCAGACATGATCCATCACAGCCATCACAGCATCCTGGTTCCACCACTCAGGATCCTGGATGGATTCGACCTCTCCCCGCATGACAATGATTTGACCTGCAGGTACAAGCTTACCTCCACCATACGCCGATCGCAGGTGCTGGGGAACGCCAGAGGGCGTAACATCACCGTTGAGTGCCTGGGTCAGTCTGTTGACGAACTTGTTGCGCTGGCCGGGGTTCAGAGCAGTTGGTGGGCTAGATGTGAGAACAAAGTTCCGGTCAAGGTCGATTACCAGGGCATCAGTCGGGGCAGTGAAAAGTGACCTGCACTCGGCAGTGATACCCAAAATGTACGGGCCAGGCTCCTGAACGAGCTCCTTGGCATGTCGGGCGTGAACGACTGGAACATAGAGACCGCTCCACTCGTAGACGCGCACGCAGTAACGCACGGTCTCGGCCGCCATCGTCAGCATAGCAGGGTAGTGACTGACGAAAATGATGCGGCGAGTCGGAGAAATGGCAGCCTCGATAACACCAACGATGTTAGGAACAGACAGGCAAGTGAACAATGGCCACATGGCGAAGTTCTGGAAGCCAGTCGGCGAGGACGGGAACTGGTAGCAAAGCGCGTAATCCTTCATATCAATGCGTACCAAATCGTTCAGGCGAGGAGCAGGGAAGCTCAGGATGCGGGAAACCTCCTCAGCATGGAACAGATTCGTAGCCTTGTTCCAGTGGATCCACATGCCTCGAAGGTAATCGCCTAGCAGGTTGTAGAGAGGGTATCGAGAGAGGAAAGACAAACAGTACGGGATCCAGTAAGTCTCGTCTGGGTTGTCATAGTAGTCCGTCTCGGTTCGCTTCCTCAGATCCCGAATGGTCTCGGCTCGCTTCTCGTCTGCGCGGGACCAGACGCGCAGGCAGATGCCGTAAAGAGTGTGAGAGGAGTCCTGTTGGAGGACGAAAGCGTGGTGAACGCAGTGAGGCTGGCTCCTGCCGGTGCAAATCTCGACATCGTGTGGAAAACAAGCCTTCATTCGTATTAGTAACTGTATAGCCATGGAATCACTTGCCAATTGAAGCATACCCTCATCGCGGCGTGCAGAGAACGCGCGATCTCGTTGTCCTGCTCCAGTCTCGGGCTGCTCCCGAGGATTTCGGGCAGCCAGAACTGGCCAACGGCACCCTTCATGTGTCCAATCTTACCCTGAGCCGGCTGGGGAGCCTTGACCCATTGAGAAGGCTCCCGGCCAACACCGCAGACCATGTAGGCATGGGTGAGCGTCTTCGGGGTGCGCTGCTGAGGCTTGACATTGAGGGTAGACGGAATAGGCTGGGTGATGCGGGAGTGTAGCGAGGAGGTGCGGCTCGGGATGATCAGGCTGTGGTCGCCCTGATCGCGGGTGCTGGGCCGAGCATCGCGGTCGCTGGTGCGAGGGCGAGTGAATGAAGAGTGGGCGTTCAAGGACGGTGCCATTTTGACTTTCGGGCTACGCTTGGTTCCCGTGGACTTCCCGTGAATAACGGCGGTTACTGCCGAGTGAAGACGGTGCCAGTCAAGACCCGTTCAATTGAGTTCGAAAAGATGGATCTCCTGCTGTAAGGAGAATTGTGAAAAGATGATGGGGTATCGAAGATGTCCGGTCGGGCTCGGTAGTTAAGGCAAGCTGTAAGGGATGCTGAATATCCGATTCCACCAGAGTCGATTGCACACACAAACGCGCTCAAGTCGACTGAAGCTGCAACAACCAGGCAGTTCCACTTCTGCCAGAGCTAAGTAGATAGCTGTGATGATGCCGTCGCGATGGCACTATACACAACACAAACTGCCTTTGGCTCCGTTGCTGCAACTGCAGTCAATTGGTGGTGAAGGAAGAGAATGGAAGAGGAGGGAGTAGGAGAAAGGAGAGCGAGTGTGGGTGTGGGTGTGTAGGTATGATTGCGAGGGGAGAAGGAGAGTAGAAGAATCGGTGGAGAAGGTGGCACAAGACTAAGCAGTAGCGCTGTATGGAAAAGGAAGGGACGAGCACAAGATGGCTGCTGCAGGTGCGATGGTCGTTTAGTGTAGAAGTAAATGTACAAGGACGAGTACTCTAAAAGATACTCTGAATAGTTAGTTTAGACTACTAGAGTCTGGAGTCTCAGCGCGCACACACACGAAGGAGAACGCAGAGAAAGAGGGGATTCGGAGGAGAAAAGGGACAGACAAAGTGAGATGGAGCTCTCCTCTGCAGATGAGCTCTGGGTCGTACCTTCTCCGTACAGTTGCAGCCAGCTGGGGAATTTGGGAAATAAGGGCAAAGCATTCCACCTGCAGCTAAGGGGTATCGACAAGGGTGGAGAGCCCCTAACTAGTCCCAGTCCATGGTAGTACTGCTGCATAGTAGGCCTGGGGGGGAGGGATGCAGCGTGCTTGCAGATGCAGACCTAAGCTACCTACCCCCTTGTCTCGTCTTCCTTCATAAATAATCATATCTCGCCCTATTAATCAACTCAACTCATAGTGTTCTCCCCCCGACAATATGGTTGCTTTTGCAGTTATTACACTGTCGCATTCTAGCGCTGCTCTTCAACTGTTGCAGAGTGCAATCAATGACTCTCCTAGATCCTAGATAAGACAGGCAGTTTCGCGATGCTACGGTGACTTCTATGAGGTCTCGGGTACATCGCCGGGGATGCTGCGTGTGTGCTCTTCCCCTGACTGGGCCACCCCGGACCGCACTGAACTGGATTGGGCGATGGCTTCGTCCATGCCAGGAACCCCCTGTCCCATCAAATTTTCGGTGGGCTCCACTGCATTTCCAGGCACATCCGGTCCAAACTCATTGTGCCAATCACGAGGAGCAGATGGCGCAGAAGGAGGGCACCCAAGGGGAGCAGCCGGTCCATGCATGGGGGTCAGGGCCTCAAGGCCTCAAGAGAGGAGCCCACCCGCGGGCACTCCAGCGAAATTGGGACTGTCGGGAGCTTGAGCACATCCGGCATGGCCCTCAGCTAGACTCCCACAAGTCCGCATGCTCCTGAGAGATTATGAGGTGCTTCCAGGACCCAGAAGTCTCGAGTCTCGCCGACGCCAATCCGCTGACGGCCTGGCACTCCCAGAAAAGGAGGAGGCTGAGGGTCGGGAGGAAATCCAAGCAAAGAAGATCATTAAGCAAGTCGGCATGACAAAGGTGAATTGTCCATCAGTGTTTCAATGCGGAGCGGCAACTCACGGTGGTATCAAAGTAACGACTCGCAAAAAAACAACCTTATCGATCGATGTAAGGGATGGCTGTCAGTGGTAATAAGCATCCCCCGAAGACACAAACGGACACTAGCCAAGATGTATCTGGTGGAGGACTGTCCACACGATACAGGATCGATCGCACATGCGATTTCCGTCCTACGATGAATACAGCGGTATCATTTAGCAACTGTCGGCGGCAAACGAGAACGATCCGCAAGGAATCTTCCCTCAGGTGCCATCCAGACCCTGAAGTTTTATGACGTGACATGCCAGTTCGTTTACACAAGTCAGAGACATTGACTCAGACCATGATAGATCACAAAACGCGCTTTCTTTCTTTTTTTGGCTTACTTACGGGACTGGTCAAAACCTGAAGCAAGCGAATAGTCCCTTGCCTCCTCGCCTTTACGGCACACAGCTCTTGAACTGTAGCTAACGACGTACCTAACGGCGGCTGCAGCAGCTTACTGACGTCTTGCAGACCTGCATGGCGACGCGTGTGATGTTGATGAAGTCTGTGTGACAACGAGCTTTCTCTTCTCCGATCTGTCATCTCTACGCATTGCTTTTCTGCAGTCCTCGTTCTCACAAATGACTCTCCAACAAATTGAAGCCGGCAGAACCGTCGGGTGTTGGGTCCACAGGGCCTCCATCGCGGTCGTGTCGTACTCGCTTCAATCGACAAACGACCGACGGTGCTGACTGCTTGGACTTTTCACCCCTCGTCTTCACCCCACCAGCCCACAGTCAGTGCTCTATATGAGCGTCGGCTTAATGAACAATAGAGCCTCGCTGGTGACTAGCGGCGAAACTGTCTCCTCTTCAGACGAGGCCCCAAGTTCCTTCAGCTTCACCTTGTATCGTAGCTATCGCGACTTTTGTCAGAGCCTAAGTTGGAGTGGTAACGATAATGAATCATGATCTCGCCCACAGGAAACCGAAATGGAATCGAAATGGTGAGGCGCTCATTTGTCATGTAGATTAAGGAAACGGCCAAACGATTTATACTAATAACAGCTGCACATTGATTTGTGTATGGAGAGAAGCAACCAAGATGTGCAAAAGGCTGTGCGCAGATGCAAAACTATGAAAAGCTGGTACACGGGTGTTTCCCGTACTGAGTACAGGTCCCCTGGTTGGTTGCGCACGAACCTCCTTTCGCACATTGCCTGCGCCGCCATGGCCGCCTTGCAGGAGACAAAAGCATGGCCATGCCCGCTTTCATCCCGCCACAGTGGATTTGTGCAGCGACCGGGACTGTACCTCGCTCGCCAATCGCGGTCGTCTTCAAACGCACTCTCAGGCAAGAGAGACAAGAAACTGACTGGCTGCTGTCCTTTTAGCAGCTATCGACTCCAACTTGATTGCGAGGCTAGTCGTCGTGCAATTGTCACGGAATCGAAGCTAGCAGGAATGGTCCCAGGCCTAGACTCGGGAGTCCACGCTTCAACTTCCTCCTCCGTCAACTACTTTCTTGTGCTGATGTTGGGCTATACACTATAGTCTGTTGGTAATCAGGCCTAGATAATCTAAAGCAGTGGGAGTATTGCTGTTCTCGAATCTCGATGAATTGCCATCATGCAGAGCGCTAGGTATGTTTCTTCATGATGATTCTGCAACGCGTGTATTGCCGCAGAGCCAGCCCATTGACTCTGTCCCGCCAGAGCGGGGAAAAGAGGGATCGTCTAGGTTAATCCGGCCAGAATGCTGTCATGAGGTTCCATTCAGAGCGCCCGGTATGCAAGTTCGGTGATCCGGGAAGGACGAGCAAGTGAGTTATGTGGTGGCTCGCGATCAGCGGAACAGAGTGCGTGCTGCATCGTCCAAGCGGGCAGCATCGTGCGTTGAAACGCAGCAGCCATCCGTCCGATGGAGCAGTCGCTCTCCGACATGAACCAACAGCAAAAGAAACAGTAAGACACGGCGTGAGTATCTGGATCGGGTTTGCGTGGGATTGGCACAGTGTTTCATCGACGATAAGGCCAGTCGAACTTGTATCGAAGCAACAGTGGCGTTTCTCGTCACAGCTACAGTGACTTTCGATGCAGTGATATTTCACCGCCGCGAGGTGGTATTCCCCCTCGCCTCTTCACTGTGATTGCAACCTTTCCTCTCGGACCAATCGCCCAATCGTGAACAGACACCCGAAACACTTGGAAATGATATTGAGGGAAAATAGCAATAGAGCTCGCTGCTGTCACACTCCCCACACCCCTGACTGTCCTGCGACGGCACCAGGGCTTGTGCATGTATCAATATCAACCCCATTATTAAAACGCAGTTTCCAGGTTCCAGCCTGCTTTCTCGACCCTCCCCCAGTCGGTCGCCAACTGCTTTCAGACGAGGCTTGGGCAGCGAACGCCTAGCAGGGTGCAACAACCGGGGGAGATGCGAACAGGTTCCCCTCCTGCGAGATGTTTTCGGTATTGCACCTGTCATTGTAGTGTAACAAGATTGCATTTTCCTTGCCACATGACGAGTTTCCATTTATCACACTGAAATCCATTTGTAGAAGTGGCGTCTCTTGAGTTGGTCAAGGTGACATGCTAGACAGCTGTTCGAGCCGTTGAGTAAGATGCTGCTGCATCGGCGAAAGCTTCTACAGAAGCGAGGAGACAGTACCAAAGCAAGGCACTAAGTTAACAATAAAGCTATATGCCAAGCCTCGAATGCACGGGATGGACAGACACCTCCTCGAGAATCTGTTCAATAGCACTAATAAACGCCATCGACATCAGTGTCAACGGATCTCTCGTTTGTTGTACCGGTATATCTTCTGAACCTCGTGAATTGAGCAGACCTAAACTTATCTTCGAGACTGATGAGGGGCTAAAGATCCCTGGTCGAGGGAAACTCCCGATTAGCTACCCACGCCCTCGAGCCCCTGGCTAGTCCATTTGAGGAAATTCTCCAATATGGTACCTAGGTCAAGCCATGATGCCTCCATAGGAAGTATCTTGCCGGCAAATGCTAATTGTTTTTGTTGCTTCCGGCCATAATTCGGACTGCATTCAACGAACCGGTGGAAAGTCCGCCGCCGCCGGCCCGGAGCCACGGCCACGGCAACGACTCCAATCCAGGCTTACAAGCAAGTTCAGAAGTCTTTATGAGATGGTAGGCGGGCACTAACAAGTTTCTCCACCACAAGATTTAGTACACCTCCGCCAGGGTAAT